GTTTTTAGTATAAAGAGTACGATAATTTTTTAGTAGCGATAACAAGAATCCATGTTATGAAAAAAAATAATAACAATGAAATGAAAATATTTTTAAACTTGAGCAATCTTTTTGATTACTTTGTCAAAGATAAATTTTAACTAATCAGTGCAGCTCTATAAAAAAATCAGTTGTTATAGCTTCAGGTTTTTTTGACCGAAATGATAACCACGATCAATTTTTTTGATCAATTCAATTTAGCTAACTCAATGAGGTAGGTGCCTAAGAACAACCTAAGTCTATAGAATAGGTTGAATTAGTAATTTTAATTTGAACTAAAAAATAATAATATACATTTAATAAATTAGTAAATAAAGTATCATTATAGCAATAAAGTAAGCAAGAAATAGTATTAGCTAATAGTTTTTTGCTTACTCAAAGTAGGCTGGCTATTAAGTAGAAAATAAAAATCAGAAAAATAAAACATTAGGTAAAAGAACTAGGTTAAGAAATACTAATTTTATAAATCAGGTATTTAATAAAAAAAGTGTAAAAATAAACTATTCTTAATAGTCTTTTTTATATTAGCTATTTTGGCAGCTTTCAATTATACTGTATACTTTCTTATAACTTTAATAATAATTACTTTCTCAAATCGATCTCCAGTATATTGTAGTTAGAGTAGAAGTTATAGCGAATAGTATGTAGCTCTTGATCAATGCTTTGTCTTTTTGGTCTGTTAATATTTGTTAAATTATATATTAGGCAACTCTAAATCAATTCTATATTTAATATAATCCTATTTTTATTTTTAAAAATTTATATATTAGTATTTTGAATTTATAAATTTTTATAGTTTTTTATAGCCAATAGGATTGCTATATTTTTGTATTTCAGGTATTGTTTAATGCTCTCTTCTCTCTCTTTTACAAAATATTTTTTTTATATTAAACACAAAATCAACTTGAAGTGGTCTAATTAAAGTTGTAAAGAATTTTTCTGGTTCTAATAGTATTTAGATTATCAAAATTGGCTTGGTAGATCTCAAGATATTTGGGTTTAAAGATGCAAATATAAGAATCTACAAATTGGTAATTATACAAAGTATTATAGTATATTTACAAAAAAGTTAGCTTTACAACTTTAATTAAAAGTCTAAGAAAGGTTATCTTATTAAAATCTTAATTATATATAATATATATATTTTTTTAAAAATTAAATAAGATAATCTCTCTTGGGTTTCTAAATAAAGTTATAAAGAAGATTTTTCGAGTTCTAATAGTAATTAGATTATCAAAATTGGTTTGGTGAATTTCAAAATATTTGGGTTTAAAGACACAAATATAAAGATTTACACATTAGTAATTATATAAAGTATTATAGTCTATAATATTATATTTATATTTTTAATTTCAAATATCTTGAGATCTACTAGTTCAATTTTGATGATCTAAATACTATTAGAACCAGAAAAGTTAGCTTTACAATTTTAATTAGAAACCTAAGAAAGGTTTTTTTTTATCATATTCTGCCACTATTTTATTAAAATATTAACCAAGCAAAAATTACAAGAATTCTTAACTATAGTTATTCTCTTTTTAACTACAACAAGTAACTCACTTGACTTAAAAACCCAGATACAATATTATCTAGTAGCTATTTGCTTCTCTTCAGACCTTTAACTTCCTAGAGGCATGAATTCTTCGATTATTAGCCAGTACCACATGCTATATCTTTTCTTTTTACAAAACAAAATACAAATACAAATTCAAAAAGTAAAAAAAAAAAATGGTGTGATACCTTAATATTTAAATTCAATCCATCTAAACAAATAAAACCAAAATAATATATAAAAAAAAACAAAATAAAATAAAAGAAAAAAAACAAAGATAGTATTATTAAACCTGTATCAGATTATAAAAATTATATAGTACTATTAAATAAACTAGTCTAAACTCTATGCTAGTTAAAGAGTATGGCGACTTAGTGAAGTGGTTAAGTTGTTGCACTCCCAAATAACATGTTGGCTAGGTAGGAGGTTCAAAACCCACTAGCAACGAATTTCAAAAATTTTATCTGTATGATAGCTACTGTTGTTTTGTTGATTGGTTAGAATATCTTTGTAACTTTGGTGATACCAAAAAAAGATTAGAAGATTATGGGTATTTGTGTAATGCACGAGTTATACAAATAAGCTTTTGGATCATTGTAAATCTAGAAACCAGGAAAGATAATGGATGCTCGCTTGGCAAGACTCGAGTAGAGAGATAGTACAGACTTTCAATAGTACTACCAAAAGATCATCATTGGGAGAACTAGCAAAACCGAACAGGACTGAAGTATTTGACAAGGCACTCCACCAACTAGGCTACTAGAGAAGTAACCAGAGGAAAAAGACCCAACTGTAAAACCACATCAGCAAAATATATAAGCGTAATCTTATGTAAGTTATTACACCACGAAATATTCTGTAAGAATTATGATCAATGCAGAATATTTTGAAATTTTTAATTTTGAAATCTTACGTAATAAATTTCGAAATATTTTGAAATATGTTTTGAAATATTTCAAAATATATTACGTAAGATTTCGAAATGTTTGCATTAAATTTCAAAATATTTCAAAATATTTTGAAATATTTCGCAATAATTCACAAAATTCGAAATTAAACAATACATATATGACATAAATATTGCAATTCGTAAAACAAAATATAAACTATTATATATATATTAAAAGAGTATATTTATACATCGTACGGTGCAATGTATGTTATATGTCACTATATATATTATATAAAAAACTTACTAAGAATATAATAACGATATAAACTTTTATATTAATTAGCTTTTGGTCTCTAAGCAAAAATAACTCAATATTGTATTGTAACTATAAATATACATATAAGATTCTAACATTCACTATTTTTAGTAAGACATTTTGGAGCATAATGACCAGTTTTATAATATAAACCACATTTACAACTACCAGAATTATCATTATCGATTATATCATTATTACTTTGTTTTTGGCTATCTACTTTATTTTTTTCATTATAATCTTTTATTTGCTTGTTTAGAGGCCTGCCTTTACCTCGATGTTTTATTAGATCTTTTATATTATCCACATTATATATATGACCATTAGACAATCTAATCTCGCAGTTTAAACCCGTATTTTCTTTTAAAACCTTTTGATTCGGTTGCATATCTGTTTTCTGATTTGCTTCTTTTTTTGAAATATAAGACAATATAATATCATCTAATGCTTTTTGATTATTATCTTCTAGCAAATAGTTTAATGCTTTTTTGAAATACTCTATAAGCTGACTATAATATAATTTTTTATATATATGTTGATAAATCTGACTTTCTTGCATATTATTATAATATTTAGGAATAGGATATGTTTCTTGTAAATTATCAGATTGGAACCTCTTAAATCCTTTAGACGATGCTTCAACAAAAGGCTCACTAGAAACCAAATCAACTTTATTCTACATATCATCTCGAAACCATCATGTTGGCATCATCTTAATATGAAACAGTGTATTTGAATTTTCTACTATAAGTTTAAAGTAATGTCGACAAATAGTTCCATATGATATTAACAATAAGCATGTACATAAATGTGTTCTATCCTTAAAAAGAATAATATGCTGATATGAACTTGTTGTTATATACGAAACAATTCTCTATACTTCACAAATTAATTTTTTTGAAACTAAATTCATTAGTGTTTTTAAATATGCCTGTCGATGGTTATAATGATCTTCAATATTTGTAATATCTTCATTATCTTAATTATCTGCTAATGGTATCTTATTCTAAAATTATATAATATATACTAGTTAATATATCTTTAACTAATACTAATGCTAAACTAACGCTAAACTAACCTTAATCTAATCTTAACTTTAACTACTAGTATACTTCGTATAACCCTTTCCTAACCCTAAACTAACCTTAAACTAACCTTAACTCTAACTACTAGTATACTTCGCATAAACTTTTCTTATACTAAATTAACTCATCTAATCTTAAATTAATTTATACTCTCTTACTACTATTAATTAACACTAACCCAAACCTTAATCTATAATAATATTCACTTAATAAATACTAATATAAAAATTCAAAATAGATAAAAGAAATCATAATTAACTTACTAATTGATTTTTAATAAATTCAAAGACTTCTTTATTAGGTACCTTTTCATATTTATATAGTACAGATTCGCATATTTGTGTATAAATCGCTTCAATAATTCATGGTGAAAAATATTTTTTTATTAAGTCATTTATTTCATTAAAAAAGTTCTCTACAATGAATAGTTGTTGATATATTGTTGACTTGTATTTCCAAGCTATAAAACTCTTATTCATAGCTTTTTGTTGTATTTGAGAATCTAACGCTTCTACTACATTAGCTATAGAAAACTAGCAGAAACAGCTTTGTGGATAAGCGTATTTATTGACTCAATATGTTGTGTTGACTGCATACCAACTATAAATATTCGGCTTGTAAAAGCATATGCCCAAGAATAGCATGTTGTATAAATCAGATCATGCAAATACTTATTAGCATTAGGATATATATCCAATAAAGTTTGAAACCTTTGTTCAAAAATATTAACATATAATACATTGCACATTTTCCAAAAGTCATTAATAAATGCTTTGTAATCAGCAGAACCAAGTTTATTTTTAAGCTGTTTAGGTAAGTTTTGAGATAAGTGCCAAATACAATATACATGATAGGCATTATTATATATATTTTAACAAGCAGCATCTATGGCTGGGTCTATATTTGTTAAAATAACTTGTGGTTCAAGACCAGTTGCATTTAATGTCTGTTGTAATATCCACTCATAACTTTTTTGTATCTTATCATTTATAAAGACTTGTGCCCCTAACCATGATTTTCTATCATTATCAACAAGTATAAACAATGATAAAGGATAGTTATATTTATTAGTTCTTGAGGTATTATCATGTAAAATGATATCTAAGTAATGGGTCCACAACATAATTTGGTCTCCTGTCATCCAAAATATACCACATAATCTATCACTATCCATATTAATAAGGGTTGTATAAACATAATAGGCTCTTTTTTTTGTTTCTCAAGAAGATACTTTAACAATTGAGAAGCATCTGAGCTGGCAATATTTTTTTCATGTTTTATTTTTTGTATAGCATTTGAGAGATCTTAAGTAAGAAAAAGTTGATCAGGAAATAATGGTTATAATAAGTTCTTTATGGTATATACATCATGACTATAAATTATAGCACGTTCAATTTCTAACATTATGGCTTGATCAAATTTTCAGAATGTTGTAGCAAACTTTGAATTATCAGCAATTAATTTATGATTATGGACAAGCTTTACAAAAGTTACGTATATATTATCATTACTTTCATATTTGCTTAAATTAATATGCTATTCGCAATTAAATTTCTTTGAACCTTTATTGCGTTGTTGGTTTGATGGTTTCACTTTATTAGGTTTATATATTCCAGCCTTTTTACATGCAAATGTTCTTTTTTTTACTAATTAGTCAGCTGAGAATTAAACGCGATATTTTTTAACTGCAACCCTCTTTTTTCTTCTATACTCCTTTATGTAATATTCAGCAGCTTCCTAAGAATTAAATTGTAAGCCAATATACAACTCAGTAATATTATCTAATTTTAAATAAAGACAGGTTAAAGTTAATTGCCACATTAGATCGAACAAATCATTACTAATAATATAATTCAGAACTAAAAAAAGTTACATAATATTTTCACCTTTTTCAAAACTTAATGAATATACAGAACCTGACCCAAAATCTGATGCTATATTAGATCTACTTTCCGCTAGTTCCAAATCCGAATTTACACTACTATTATTTTTTACTAAATCTTTACTATTTTCTCTTACTTCCAAATCTAAACCACCTTTATCTTTTGCCAACTCTACATATAATTTATTATTAGACTATCAAGTTTGTAACTAATATCGAGTTAAATAAATATTAACCTAATTCAAGCCTCAAGATAGGCTCAAAATTATCCTCACTTACTTCCGGATCTATACTATCTTCCAATTATACAAAAAAAATATAGTATTAGATCACTAAGTTTATAATTAACAACAGAATGAATATAATACTAACCTAATTCTAGACCAAAAATAGATCCAGTATTAACTTCACTTACTTTCGAACCCATACAACTATTATCTTTTACTATCCCTGTAAGTTATATATCATATTAGATAGCGAAGTTTATTAATAACAACAAAGTAAACTGAAAATTTACCTAATTCTAAACCTAAAGATTCACGAATATTTTCACTTACTTCTAAACTTAAATCCACACAATTATTACTTTCTACTAACACAGCAATTTATTCCATTAGATCAAGATTTAATAGCCAGTAACAGAATAAAAATAATATTTACGTACCTAAATGCTAACTAAGAGCTAGCCTAACCTTATCTTCATATCTTTCGAAATTTACAATAAATTGTTTGTAAGCCTACGAAGCTTATACTAATACAAATTTAAGTAAATGCTTACCCAAACCCAAACTAAAAGTGGTTCTAGTATTGTCTTCACACTCTTCAAAGTCTGCAATAAATTGGTTATTAAGTCCACAAACTTATACTAAAACAAAGTTAAATATAATGCTAACCTTCGGTGCTCTCTTCTGCTTAATAAAACAAAGCCAATAAATATATATACATATATATGTACTATGCTTATTTAATATAAAATTAAGTAAATACTTATCCAAACCCAAACTAAAAGTGGTTCTAGTATTGGTTTCACACTCTTCAAAGTCTGCAATAAATTGGTTATTAAGTCCACAAACTTATACTAATGCAAAGTTAAATGTAATGCTAACCTTCAGTGCTCTCTTCTGCTTAATAAAACAAAGCCAATAAGTATATATACATATGTATGTACTGTACTTATTAATTAAAAAAAAAAAAGCAAACCAGACATATAGTTATACAAAAGATTCATTTTCATATTGTGTACAACTAAAGAGAGTAAAAATTAGATATTGGTATCATTATGCATTATTCTTATATGCAGTATATATCACATGATTTACATAAATATGACAATATCACACGTACAATATATAAATTTATTCTTTATTTATATTTTTCTGAATAAATTGATCCAAATCTTCTAGATTTAATTTCTACAGAGGTTTTCCAAACCCTTTTGATTTTCAGTTTTTTTTGAGTACTTCACTTTCAGTTAATTTATATCATTTAATCTAAAAAATAATCAATTGTTAACGATAATTTTCACTAATTAAAAAAATAAATTTTAGCAAAATAATGACTCATAATATATAGTACAAATAACAATTTAATTACTAAATAATATATGTATTTAATAGATTTATTAGTAATTAATTGGTGATTCGCCAGTCAGCCAGTGAGAGGTCATAGTATAACGTGATGCAGTTTATTTATAGAAATTAGGGTTTTGCAAATATGGGCTGCATCATTCTAAAACTTTTTTTTGTACTAAATTAACTACCTTTAGGCTTCTAATTGAAGTTGTAGAGCTCATTGAGAAGAATCTAATGGTAGATAAATCATTAAAATTGGCCTTGTGGATCATGAGATATTTTTGAAAAATATTTTGCTAACTATGTAAAATTCTTTTGGCAATACTATTGTCGAAAGAAAGAATTTTACATAGTCAACAAAATGTTTTTTGAAGATATCTTGTGATCTACAAGCCCAATTTTGACTATTCAATCACCATTAGATTTTTCTCAACAAGCTCTACAACTTCAATTAGAAGCTCAAAGGTAGTTAACTTAGTATGAAAAAAAGTTTTAAAATGATGCAGCCCACATTTGCAAAACTCTAATTTCTATAAGTAAACTATGTCATGTTACACTATAACCTCTCACTGGCTAACTGGCGAATTACCAATTAAATTGTTATTTGTACTATATATTATGAGATATTATTTTGTTAAATTTATTTTTTTTTAACCAGTATATAGCTTACTGTTTTTAATATTTGCTTTATATAATCTTTTTTATTGGACATACAGTAAGGATTTTTAATATAATTCTTATATAGGGTCTCATAAGTTTTTGTTGTCATACTATTTATTGACACATATTCTTTAATTTTAGATACTATATAATAGTACCAAGAGTGAAGTTTTGGAAGTTTAAGACCACTTTATGAATATTTTGAAAATATTTCAATAAATTCTTGGGCCCAATCCATAATAAATATCTATAAAATTAATTGTTAGTAATCAAAAAATTATAAAAAAGCTAAATATTTATTTATATTTGAAGCTGATTCTATGACTCATTAGTAAATGATTCTTCTCAAGTAGCTATATATATTCGTAAGAATTTATAATATACTTGGCATAGCTAATTATTACTAATACCAGGCTTTTTATACTTATCATATAGATGATCAAGAGTGAAAATTAGTATTTTTATTAAATTTCACAACTCATCTGCTATTAACTGTGTTGTATCTGATATATTCTTAATTATTTTAAAGTTATAATATCTAGAAATCAATGCTAATTGTTGTTCAAAAGTTTGAAACACATGACTTCCACATTGTTCATATAAAAGCTTTTTGGTATACTCTAGCATATACTTAAAGAGCCCAAGATCCAAGATATGTATTCAATCAGGAATGATAATTTCATATATATTAAAATTCCTAAAAAAATTTATAATTTATATTTATTAATTTAATAATACTAATAAGTTAATAAGGGCACATCAAGAAATTTTTAAATAAGATGCATGTCAATTATTACGTATTTGCAGGGTAATTAGTATTTAAATCTACATGATTGCAATCGATTAGCATCGATTACCATATATTCCTGAAAATAAGCTACTATTTTTAGAAAAAAAATTACACAAAAATATTGGGGGTAGCTTATTTTTGGGTAAAAGCGGATTTTGCTCAATTTCGAAAAATTTTACTAAGTAAATCGGCATGGCTTATTAAGTGAAAGTTATTCAGGAGATCAAAATACATATATCCTAAAAATTTCATATAAATTGGATAACTTTTTATTAATTGACTTTTTTTGATTTTTACGTTCAACGAATATAAATTTTAAAGAAAATTTAAAAAATTCGTTGAACGTAACATGCAAAAGTCAATTAATAAAAAGTTATCCGTTTTACATGAAATTTTCAGAATATATGTATTTTGATCTCCTGAATAACTTTCACTTAATAAGTCATGTCGATTTACTTAGTAAAATTTCGACTTTACTATAGAGTAACTACTGACGATCGTAAAAGTAGCTTATTTTCGGGCAATAGAAGTTTTTACGTTTTTCTTCCAAAAAAAGAAGGTAGCTTATTTTCGGAGTAGCTTATTTTCGGGAATATACGGTAATATTGATTATAATCGATTATGATTATAATCGATATTAATTAATACTACTCTGCAAATATATAGTAATTGATATGTATCTTATTTAAAAATTTCTTAATTAATATCATATTTTATATCCCAAAATATATTTATTTCTGGATGAATAGAATAATAATGATTATCACTGTTATTAATTGTATCTTTCATATTATAATATGTTCTAGGTGACATTGTAATTAATTCTATATTATTTAAGCCATCCTTCGATATTAAACAAGAATAACAAGGTTTATTTGATGTAGATGGTTGATAGTATTAGCTATCTTATTTGCTTCAAGTAAATCAGCTATTATCATTAAAATTTATGATATAAATATAATTATGTTAGGGCTGTGTAGTAAATCACACAATTTCTGCTTACTATAAGGTCTACCCCTTCCTCCCCTGTGATAAATATTAACCAATCAAAATTTATTTTTCTTAAAACATGATAGATTAGCTACTCTCCTCCCCCTAAAAAATCACGTAATTTCCTGCATTTCTCTTACTATGAATAACAAAATTAAGCTCTGAACTATTAATGATGGGCTTTAATAGAATATTTAGATATATATGAAAAACTTCTCTTTAAAATTTTTGAAATTTTTCAGAGTTTTTTGTTTTGGAATCTTTATCTTTCAAGATAGGTAGACACCTGATTAAAGCTTTAGACTTCAGTTTATTTCACAGAGAGTTAAGAATATTGTCTAAAAATAAAAAATAGGATGTTCAGACGATTTTTCTATTTGGTCTAGATTTGTTGTATCAGAGTAAAAGATTATCAATAACAATTGTTGTTCAATAAGTAATGACGATTCTTCTTGTTTTCACTAGTTAGAATTATATTGCTCTTCGAAAATATAAGACTCTTTATTATTTGTTTCTCTTTTATCTTCAAAGTTAAATACTAATGCCTTATTAATACTATTGATCATTAATAAAGACTTTATAGTCTTAATTAATGATCGATAGTAAAAGTATACCTAACATTTTGAATCATTGTTATAGGAACTTCTTTAAACTTTATATAAGTAATAGTTGAATTATCAAAAAATTGTTTTTTGATTTTTGTTGTTGAAAGCAGTGGTGAAACATCTATATTGGAATATTTATTAACCAATTTTATAATAACATTACTAGCTGAATTAGATAGATAGTATTGATTATGCCTATAAAGTCTCGATAAGCATCGTTTGGTCTTTCAATAGTTTCTAGATATTGTAAATCATTATACGCATCATCTAATAATGCACTATTATAATCTTCTAGGTCAATATCAATAAATTCTATTTGAAATAAGTTATTTTCCTTATAAAAAGAATAGATAACGTTTTATAACTTATACTAACCAAAATTAAAAATTAAATATATTGAATAGCAATCGATTTTAGTCGATTGCTATTCAACATATTTAATTTTTAATTTCAATCAATATTAATAACTAATTATAACAAATTTACTTCATTAAAGCTATCTTCCGTTTTTATAGAAGAATCTATTTTGGGTAGGTGATTTTGAGGTAACTTTATTCTATATTAAATATAATCGTTTATTTATATTTACAAGCGTTATTAATAAATATAGAATAATTTAGTCTGTATATTATAGAATCATTTGAATCATATTCCAAGGATGAATAATAACTAGAACTATAATTTGGAAGATTCCAAATATTATCATCTACTTGCTCAACAGATTGATTTGTTGTATCTTGAAGATAAGAATGCTTTTGCGAAATATGTTGTGTTAAGGCATAGGATTTTGAAAATTCTCAATTTCAATGCTCATATTGCCAACACATTTTTTAAAAAAAAGAATAAAAGAGAATAAATAAATAAGAGTTAATAAAAGAACAATAAATAGAAAAAATATTATTAATAAATAATGAAAAATAATGAAAAATAAATTAAATATAGCTTCAAATTTAAAGAGATAAAAATGAAAAAGATAAAAAGTAATAAAGAAAACTAAAGAATATATCAAGAAGCAATTATTTAAAAGATAGTTATGCGATTTAATTGATTTATATCGATTTTCAATGATTTATAATGATTTTAAGTGATAGCTAAAGAATATAGCAAGAAGCAATAATTTAGATAGTATGTGACTTTTTTGATTTATTTTGATATTAAATGATTTATATCGATTTTAAATGATTCTTACTCTTTGATCAAAACAAAAAATAATAATTTTTTATATGACATAAGAGGAGCACCAGAAATCAGCTAATTTTTTAGAGAGAAGAGGGTAAAAAAAATTATTAGGTATATAGTTTTAGCCAATTAAAATTTTTTATTTAAAATCAGGTAGGGGGAGGGGAGTAGCCTCTTAATAAAAAAATATCAGCTGATAAATGGCCCTCCCTAATGTACTAATTAAAAACTAGCGATATATTACATCTGATATTATTTAAATATGTTCTAAATCTGAAATTATCAATGAGGTAAACTCAGAAATCATTATTATATGTGTAATGATAGTGAATTGTTATTACACGTAAAATACTAAAACAAATAAGATAAGTATACTTTCGCTTATTTATTTTTATTATATAAGTCATAGTTA